ATTTCAAAACCCTTTTATTATCTCTACATCTACATCTACATCATACTGCTTCAAAATCGTAATCGATTACACTAAGCAGGCACGTTGTCTGGAAATAGCTCTTAAAAACAAATATGTTAAGTGCAAATTTATAGACATAAGGTAAAAGCAAGTTAAAAAGAACTACAAGACTGAGATAAATGTTAAAATCAAAGCTGGCTTAGAACTGATAAAAAGGATGCAGCTGCCCAGTAAAGAGGTCTAAACTGGGACTAGCTTGTAAGGACACGGGTAGGCCATTTCACAGACGAATACTTCTGGGGAAAATAGGGGTGATATTGTGTCCTTAATATGGTATTAGGTAGTTCAGGTTTCTAGTTGGTGCCAGGTGGTGATGGTCGACCCTCACAAGATTGTGTTGGATTTTGTAGAGGAGGGTAACAGAGCTGATGTTGCGCCTCTGTTCTAGGGTTTACCAATTAAGTTCACTTATCATTTTAGATACACTACTGGTGTAATTGTAGTCATTGTATACATATCTGGCAGCTGACCTTTGAACTTGTTCTATTTAGTAAACCAGATATGTTTGCCAAGGATGCCAAACCGTGGAACAGTATTCTAACTGGGGCCTTACATAAGTTTTGTAGGCAGTTTCTTTGACCTATTTATTTTTTACATTTCTTCTTTTAAATCTGAGTGAATTATTTGCTTTTGCTGTTATGTTATAAAAATTTATGTGATTGGTCCAGGATAAATCTTTACTAATTGTTAAGCCTAAATAATTTGCAGCCATAGTGGATTTTAGTTGTTGACCATGTAAATTATAAAGGAATGTTACTGGATGTTTCTTGCGGCTGATACTAAGGAATTCACATTTATCTGGACCAATCAGATTCCCAGTTTTCAAGACTGTGCTATCTTTTTGGAGGGTTTTGGCATCTTGGGTTGATTTGATTGTTAAATATACTATTTATCGTCTGCAAATAGCCTGACCTTGCTCTTAACACTATCATGAAGGTCGTTTATGTAGGATAAGAAGAGGCAAGGTCCCAGGACCAAGCCTTGGGGGATACCAGAGAGAACAGCAACAGAGGGCAACAAAAATGGTCTTGTGCCTACAGTCATCTGTTAGGGATTCATTTGACCAATTTATGCTTGGCATGTTGAAATCACCAAGGATCCAAATTGAGCTACAGTTGAGTTCACACTAAACTTCCCACCCTTGTGCACTTCTAGTGCACTAGAGCTGAACTAGAAGTGCACTAGAAGTGCACTTCTAGTGCACTAGTTGCACTTCTAGTGCACTAGATCATATGACCAGGCTGGCCAGGGAAGGTGACACCTAAATGGTTTATTGGATAATTGTATATCAAGTGGGAGGGGGCATCCATTGTTACGCTGCTGTATGAAAAAAAAATTGGGAAAATATATATATGACCTATTCATGAATATAAATAAGTAAATTTTTAAATCAGCAGTTTTAACATTTTAGGTGATTATCATGTTAAAGCTTAAAATTAAAATGTTTTTTTCATTTCTTGTAATCATATTTTTATTAACCAGTATTTAAACTGTAAGTGAAAAATAAATACCCTTAAAATCAAATTTATAGAATTAATAAGGTTAAATTTAAATATGCACCGTAATGGATAATTAAATAAGTGTTTTTAAAGCTTTTTTTAAATGGCCATATATTTCAATTTTTCTAGTGTACAAATGGTATAAAATCAATGTGATAATTCTGGCCAATTAATTTAGTTTGTTACATCATAAACTTTTTTTCATAAGCTCAAACAAATCAAGGAAAGGTTATATTTAAGCTTAAATATTATTTCTATAATATATAACTTAGAGACAATTCATCATGTTCAATATTGAAAGAGAATATTAATACATTGATTTTAAAACAATCAATATACTGTGATAATTTAGTATTCAACTGTGTAATGCTTTGCATATGTTTATGCAAATAATTTAAATATTATCCATAAAATAAATAAATTTGATATCTTTATTCATTATTTCAATATTAAAAATTTAATGTATAAAGGGAATACTTTTATTGAAGAGGAAAATCTCAAGTCATGCTGTGTATTGGTATTTTCTGAGAGGGAATGCTTTCAATATACCACTCTCCTGCTGATAAGAGGGCCTCAGGGTTAATAACAAAGATATCAATTTTGCAGATTTATAAGAATGCATTGAAATTCCCTGGTTTTCTCAAAATGCATGTTAGACATAAGCGTGGGATTCATCAGGCGTTGGCACTCAGTAAATGACCATAATTTTTGTATAATCAAATATACAAAAAAACATAAAGGCATAAATGCATAATAATAGATATTATCAGAGACATAGATAGATGTTATCTATGTCTCTGATATTATTGTCTCTAAAGCGGAATTTTCTATATGTATCCATTTATCCACATTTCTTGCCATTCTGCATAATAATATCACGGATTTATATTACTATATACTATTAATATAAATCCGTGATAATATATAACTTAAGAGGCAATTCCTCATGTTCAAGATTGAAAGAGAATATTAATTCATTGATTTTAAAACATTTTATACACTGTGATATTATTGTTTTTTCAACCATAAAATGCTTGCATACTTTTTAAAAGATATACATAATTAAAATTTTCCATAAAATAAATAAAATTGATAACTTTATTCAAGATTTCTACATTAAAAAATGTAATGTATAAAGGGAATGTTTTTATACAAGAGGAAAGTCTCGAGTCATGCTGTGTATTGGTATTTTTTTTGAGAGCGACTGTTTTCATTACTGATAAGAGGGCCTCAGGGTAAATAACAAAAATGCAAATGTATGCAATATTTATTGAAAATTTTCTTTTTTTCCCCAAAATACATGTAAGTCATCGATAAATGACTATACTTTTTGTATAATCAAATGTAAAAAATAATCTTAATGTCATAAACGCACGTTAGATATTATTGTCATTTACTGTTTTTGAAGTGGAATGTTCTAATTTTATTATAAAAAACTGGTTTAAAACCAATATCAGTGTTAACTATTCTACAAAGACTTCGTATCAATATTTTTTTCATATTTCTTGCAATTCTGCATTAAAATGTGCAGCATCGTTTAATTTCTGAACTGAGAAATGTTTATTTTTTCTATTATAGATTTCACAAATTTGTCTTTTTTCACACATTCAGAAGATAATATATTTTAAAGAAAATATTCAAACACATGATTATAAAACTTTCGCAACTTCCTTTTCACTTTAATGCAGATCTGGTTTTTTTTTTTTTTTTTTTTTTTTTTTTTTTTTTTAATTTAATATCATACATGAGCAGAAAACAGTTACAGGAGATTAAAGTGTCAAAAAGTCATGCTGTGTATAGGTTGTTTTGAATATAGTACCCTGCTGATAAGAGAGCCCCTCAGGGTAGATAACATAAGCCAGATTAGGCGATGTAAATTCTGTATTCTCTGGATGTTGGTGCAAATAAATTTCATTACAAATAGTACAAAAAGAAAAATGAATATTTTTGCATTTTATAATAAACTCATAAAATTAATCAGATTGCATAATAATGTTACAATGCATGAAAATAGGAAAAAAGATTGGTGTCGTCTCAAAAAATGGAATTGAAAGATTTTCTAATCTTTTTGTTAATATCCATGTCAGTTTAAGTATACTAGTATCCCACATGTACATATCAATACTTAATCCACACATATCAATACATACCACCATTATATATAAATATTTATTTTCAGAATAATATATATCGTTTATATTAATCTTAGGTAAATCTCAGTTTGAGAAGGTAAGAGAGATTATAAATGAAATAAAATTGACAAAATTTAGGCCAATTATAAACACATTAATTCTTTAATGTATTAAATAGAGGATATTGAATGAGTGTAAGTTCAATACTGAATTTATTGCACGAGTTGAATAAAATTATATTATGCGAGCCTCTGGCGAGCATAATATTATTTTATTCAACGAGTGCAATAAATTCAGTAATGAACTTACACGAATTTAATATTCTATTTATCACATACACAAAATAAAGACGTATTAAAGTGAAATAAGAGTCATTTTTCATTGACGCGCCTATAGTATAACGCTAACATTTAGCGCGTCTTTACACTATGTTTGTATAACGCTAATGACGTCACGTCAAAATATATGCACGGCCGTGCAATACCATATTTACGGAGTCGCAAAATCGGCACGGGTGTGTGATAAAGGCTATTAATGCTTAAAATCATTACCTTTAACTAAAACAACCATAAGTTAAGATAAAAAATAACTAATACTACGGTATAATTCCCCCTCCCCCCAAAAAAAGAACTGACTTAATTTTGTTTGATTAGCATTTCAATGTTTCATATTTCATTACCAGATTATAATAGAATAGAATCATATTAAATATCAATTAAGTTTGTTTATTTATGCACTTATCAACATTAAAGTTATAATTATTTATATTTAAATTACTTATTCTAACAATTAAATTTTAAAGTACAAAATCAGTAAAATTAATGACTTTGAAATTTATTGTTCTAATATTTTACGCCATATTTTACAAAATCCAATAATCACAATTTCAAATTTTTATTGAAAAACTATTAAACAGATATCTATATTTTCTTTCTTTTTGTAAAAGTCAAATTGCTATTCAGTGAAATAAAAGGTAACTGCTTAATACATATAATAGGTCTGGTGCACTACAAAGTGCACTTATGAAGTGCACTAGTAGTGCACTACTAGTGCACTTTGTAGTAAGATAAGATAAGATAAGATAAGATAATCTTTATTTAAAGTCGGTTTCATAAAAACATATAAACATTAGCTATATAAGCTATTTTCCGACAAAACTTATTATCCTATAACAATTCAAACAAACAATCTGTATAAAAGAAAATATATAAAAGTATTAAGAAGATCAATGTACATTTATGAAAGACTCTGTAAAACAGTTAAGATTTATCAGCACATATAAATATGGGTAAGAAAGCATTAAATGATTAAAAGCAAATATACATTACAATCAAACATCACATAAAATTACATCATACAAGAGTTCTATTTATGTACACAACCCTAAAATCAGAAAAAGGATTAGAATTTTTTAAAAATTTAAATTTTTAAAATAAATTAAAGTAAATGATTCAATTTTATTTTATTTAAATATAGTTAACCTAATTTCAAGTATGATGCTTGAGCACATATCAGTAGCAGCATCTGATATGTACTCAGTCATGAAACTATGGGTGTAACTAGAACATGTACAAGTATCATAATAATAAAACTTAAAATGTTGAAATGTTTGTGTAACAGATGCTGATCTGAGTTGGCCTAGATAAATTCATGGTCTAAGTTAATTACTTAATTAATTAGAACAAAAATAAAATAAAAGTAGAAATAAAAAGGTAAAAATAGACTTAAAGAAGCTATTGTCCCCTTTATGGGATATATGAAAAGCTGATCAGCAGCTGTCACATATACAAACACTAACATGCACTGACAAATGACTATACAAATATACACACAAGAAGCACATGAAAAGCATTACATGATAAAACAGGTCTTATACAGCATTGCTCTATGGCAGACAGAAATACAGGAAAAACAAAAGAAGAAACAAAAGAAGCATGCAGATTCATTTGATTCACATTTCAAAACTCAACAAAAAACATAACACTTAGGCACACATAGAACATTTGCATTTGAAGCCACTCCAGGTTTGGATAAGCCTCCGAAATTCACCGTAATCAGTTTCTGTTCTTAGTTCATTCGGGAGGCTATTCCAGACCTGGGTGGCCTCATAGCGAAAGCTTTTCTTACCATAAGTCTCTGTATTTACTCTAGGAACTTCAAGTGTGTTGTTATTTCTAAAAGAGTAATAAGAGGAATTTACTTTAATTAGTTCTTGAACATATTTTGGTGATATATTTTGCAAACATTTAAAAACTTCAATAGCTAATTGTCTTAATCTACTGATATGTAAAGTTGGCATATTAGCTTTACTTAAAAGAAATTCATATGATGAGCTGTAATCCTCAAAAACTATCTTCAATGATCTATGTTGTAACTTTTCAAGTTTTTCAGTATTTTGTTTACTACAAAAATGCCAAACTAAAGGACAATAGTTAAAAATTTGAACGAACAAAGGATTTGTAGATTAACAATCTAGTATTTTGATTTAAGAATTTACTCAGTCTAGCAAGAATGTTGATTTGTTTTGCAGCCTTTTTTGCAAAATGTTAGATACATGTAAGTCAAAATTTAGTAAAGAGTCTATTTCAACACCAAGAAGTTTCACGCTTTTTTCACAGACAATTTCTGTACTATTAAGACAAAAAGAGGTTAATTTACTAGTTGTTTGTTTTCCAATACAAATTGCCTGAAATTTGTCCGGATTGGCTTGCATTAGATTATTATCAAACCATTTTATCATAGATAAACTTTCATTTTCCAGTATAGATTGTAAAGAGTCAATATTGGTATCACAGTAAGATAATGTGTTGTCATCAGCATAATTGTACACAGTGGCTAATTTAATAAAGTAAAAGATGTCGTTAATAAAGATGTTAAAAATAAGAGGCCCTAGAATGGATCCCTGGGGAACTCCCTTACTTATTGACATCCAGTCACTGCATGCTTTACCAAGCTTAACCCTTTGTTTTCTATTTGACAGGTAGTTGTGCATAAGTTCTGCGGCTGTGTCAGATAAGCCATAGGCCTTAAGTTTCAATACGATCAAGTCATGTGGGAGACAGTCAAATGCCTTTGACAGATCCATGAGTATTGCTGCTACATACTCATGTCTATCCAAGGCATTTTTCCAGTCTTCTATTAGCCGTAAAAGAGTAGTTTGACATCCAAATTTAGATCTAAAAGCTGCCAGAAAATTATGAAAAATGTTGTCAAAGTATGAAACTAGTTGCTTATTTATTGATTGTTCAAAAATCTTCGAGAAAGTGGGCAGAATACTTACAGGCCTATAATTTTTCTTTTGAAAAGGATCTTCTTTTTTATAAACTGGAGTAACCTGAGCCATTTTCAGGGACTCCGGAAAAGTATTATTAATAAAGCATTTATTTATTATACATTTTATAGGCTCCGCAAGAGATTTAGCACCTGCTTTTATAATTTTTGGAGGTAGGTTATCAATACCTGTGGCCTTCTTACCATCCACACTGTGCAGAAGCTTATGCACTTCCTGAGATGTAACAGGTTTAAATACAAAATTATTATTGCTTTGGATTTTATCAGAGATAGCCTGTACACTAGGGTGTTGTTCATTAATCATTATATCACTGTTGATACCAATATTTTGAGCTATATTAACATAAAAATCATTAAGTATGTTGCATACCTTATTTTGATCTGTTATTAATGTATCATTTTCATTTAATATAATTTGAGCATCATTTTTGGCTGTATTTTTACTAGAAAGAAAAGGTTTTATAGTAGGCCAGAAATGTTTTGACTTTGGTCCCCCACCACACCTTTCAAAAAAATATATTTGCATTGAGTTTCTTTTAAGTTTTGTAACTAAATTTCTCTGTTTCCTATATTTTTCCCAGTTTTTATCAGTTCTATATTTGAAAAATGAATTTCTAAGTTTTCTTTTTACATAAATGGCTCTGCGGAGTTCTCCATTCATAAAAGGGGGAGATTCTTTTTTAACCTTTTTTTGTTTGATTGGTGCATGTTCATTTACTACTTCTTTGAATAAGGTTTCATTAGCCCAATAAATGTCATCGACATCGTCAAATATGTGGGCTACATGAAATGGTACTTGTGACAGGTCTTTGTTAAAATCCTGCTCATTAAAATTTTTGTAGGATCTAAAATTTACATATTTAGATTGGGTCAAGTTACATTGTTCTCTAATGGTTGTAGCAATAAAATTGTGACAGTCACTCAGTCCTGAATCAAAATTTATGGTATTGCAGATGAGATTTGGTCTATTTGTTAGAATAACATCTAAATATGATGGCTCATAGTTTTTCATTTGGCATGTTGGTCCTTTAATAACATTATTTAAGTTATATGTGTCACATATTTGAGTGAGGGGTTTACATTTGTCAGGTTTGTTTAAGTCATAGTTCAAGTCACCTATTGTTAAAATATGGTCATAGTTTAAGAATAATTTGTCTAAAGAAACAGTAATATTTTCAATAAAAACATTATCTTTTGTATTTGGGGGTTTGTAAATAGCTAAAATACCCCATTTTCGTTTTGCCATACAAAGCTCAAAACACATTGATTCTAAAGACTCACATTCAAATTCTTTCCTCCTTCTAAAAGGTAGGTCATCTCTTACATATATCAAAATCCCACCACCATGTTTGTTTCTATCTTTTCTCTCCATCTTATAACCTGGAAAATTATAAATATTATTATTGTATGAGTTATCAAGTTTGGTTTCTGATAGTATTAACATATCAACAAGCTTTTCTGATAAAATATCGTGAATTTCTGTAAATTTGTTCTTCACACTATTAATATTTAGATGTGAAATAAGAGGTCTTTTTAAATTCGCTTTTCTGAGGTTTTTGAGTTCATTCAAGTGATCTACATCTGTGTTTGTTGAGGTATTTATGTCATCTTGGAACGAGTGGTTATTATGTTCTTCAGTGGGGTTTTGTTCAGAGACATAAGAAATAGTTGAGTTAAAGCTGAGATCTCCTTGCTGGAATATAAGACTGTCATTAATGTTATTCATATTAAAACAGGTAGAAATTGTTTCATGATTTATAGGTTGTTCAAGGTTCAATGTAGGTTCGATGTTTGTGTCCTGCTCACTTATATTTGGTTCAGTAAATCCATTTATACAATTTGTATCTTGTTTATAAGCTGAAAGTGTACATTTCTGGTTTATTGATACATCATTACATGTTTTACATAGCCATGGGTCGTCTAGGTTGCCAAGCAGTATGTACTCTGCTGGTGTCACATTCCCACATTTTATATGAATCCAGAATTCACACGATTCACATTGCAAGGCTCGATGGTTTTTAGCCACTGGTTTAGTACAGACACCGCATGGAAATTTTGTAGGTCCTGGGTTGGTTGCGATATCACCGGCTAGAATTATTAGTAGAAGTCTATGGCATTTTTGTGGTTGTAAAGCTTGAGCCAGACGGCTCCTACGGTCTCTAGTGTGGTAGAAAATTGACTCCAGAGGACTGATCTGTATTTCTTTTGCAAAAGTAAATTGGTTCGATTTGCATTTTTGAGGATATCTGTCTTCAGAGAATATATCACGGTTATAGGTTGTGTGGTTTACCTGATTACTTGATTGGATTGTTTGTTCATTCTTTTTCAATACAACATCTTCTTTGATTGACGATAGGACACAATTTAGAATAAAAGATATTTTCCACAGTTTGTTTACCATCATAATGATTCAGGCGCTCTGTTTACTAGTCAAGCACCCGGCGAAAAATCTGGGGTCACTGTGCCGTAAATACTTTACTGATCAAGCGTCTGGTTACCCTGATCGTATCAGAAAATCTTTGAAAAAAGTACTTTATCGTCGATTTTGTGCATTTGCATGAATGATAAAAAGTCTCTCGGTTTTTTCTTTAAAACTTGGACTGATTAAAACTTCTTTTAAAATAGTTTATCCATAAAATATTTATTTTTCACTGTTTCAATTTGAAATCAGCTGCATACGCACTAGTAGTGCACATCTAGTGCACTCCTAGTGCACTTTGTGTAACCTTTAGTGTGAACTCAACTGTATTCCTTGGGATCTTACTTAGGGTTGACCATAGTTGGTTTAGGGATTCCTCATCGTTCTCATGAGGTTTGTAAAAAGAGGAAATATATATATATCTTATACCTTTAAGGGTAATGTTGCCCAGATAGCATTACACTTCGATTTGAGGTGGGGCTGTTCCTTGCTCATAATAGATCGTGATATGGCAAACAGGGTCCCCCCCCTCCTGGGCTGTTCAACCTATCATCCCTATATATATTGAAATTGGCTGTGACTAAAAAAAGGATTGGAGCACCACACTAAATACCGTATTCCGGTATATACCGGACAAGGCGCTTGAATGATAAAATGCTAAAATCTTGTCTTTTAACCCAACGGAATGAACTTTAATAGGTCTAATTCATCTTTTCACACCGAATCAAGTACGATAATCAAGGAAAAATGTAAAATTCGGCGAAAAAATAGATATTTGTCTATTTTGGGATCATGATTTCTGCAAGCGTCTAGAGGTACTGCTCCAATCCTGTATTGAGCTAAATCCATTGAAATTCAGGTGGTCTGGAAAAATTTCCGAAGAATTTATTTCCGGTTTCAGTCAAGTTTCTGTAAGACACAGTATGTCTGGCTTTATTTGGGTGATAACCGGTTGTAGACTGGGAATCTTATTTTCAACCGAGCGACAATTAATATTTAGGACAGTAAGGCGTTCTAGTGTTTTAAGTTTTGTTGTTCTTGGGGGTTTAACTTTTTTATTTTTAGCATTTGGCGTTGAAGTTGCTATGGGCTGGGTTTTGGGGCTAGAGTGACTGTAATCTAGTTGATGGGAATCAGGATGGGAATTAGAGTTTTCATCATTACTGAGGGATTGTAGGGGAGAAAAATATGTATTTTCACTCAGACTATTAAGGGATTCTGAGAGAAGAAGGGAGAAATTTGAACTGCCACATTTAGTACAGTGTCAAACAAACCTTGAGTCAGTAGGTGGAGTCGCCTATACCTTGGCATTTAGCATGAAACCAGACATGATGTCATCACACTGGTCACAAGCTATGCCTTATTCAACAGATCTAATAGCATATGGCTTCAAAGATGTGCATTTTATTACACATACTAATGTTACAGAAAATGTTGAACACTTATTCAAACTGTATATTGTGTAATTATTTGTCCGAATGGTAATTCGTCCGAATTTGAGACACTTGGACTAACAAATGTATCTGCAAAGAAATATATTTCATTTGTACTTTACATACTAATGCTCCCCAAATTTTTCGTCGTTTATAGACGCTGTATAGCATATTTGTTTCTATTTCCTGCCTCCGAAGGCCTTATAGGAGTCGGCTATTAAACTTAAAAATTATGCCTCCATTTTTGTAGGGGAGGTAACTGTCAGAGCGGGATATTTTTGTGTCCGCCATATTGGAGGTATTCGCTATCAACATTATTGGTAAAATCTTTACAAGATGGTGAATTATTGTCGTGTTAACGGGTGTCATAATAGATCAAATAGAGAAAGTCACCTGTCATATTACAGGTTGCCTGAAGTTATTGTAAACCAGGGTGAAACGACGCAGAAATATGCAGAAGAAAGACGAATGGTTTGGTTAGCAAAATTAGACCAAGATTTCTCGGGGAAAAACCTGAAAAACATCCGAGTTTGCTCAGCTCATTTTCTGTCAGGTAAATAGATTTCATCATCAAACGCTTTGAAATAATTATCTTATTTTACATGAAATTATAATAATCGTGCGTAGATCTTAGGGGCTTAATGTATAATGCACAGGTGGCAGTATCAGTGTTTGGACACCCCACCCCTATCTGCCATTGGACCCCTACTACAACCCTGAAAAAAATAATTCAACACTCTAAGGCTTACTATAAGGTACCAAATACAAAACCACCGATGAAGTTTTATATAAAAAAATTTTTTCCACTATCAAAATTATAACTATAATTTTGATAGTGGAAAAAAAAAATTATATAAAATTTCATGGTTGGTTTTGTATTTGGTACCTTATAGTAAGCCTTAGAGTGTTGAATTTTTTTTTTCAGGGTTGTAGTAGGGGTCCAGGGGCAGATAGGGGTGGGGTGTCCAAACACTGATACTGCCACCTGTGGTATAATGCTATTTATTTTTTCAAACTTTATGATTAAACTCCATGTAAAAGGGTAAATGGTCAACTGCACCAGTCAGTTCGGCATTCATTTTTAAACCTATCAACAAAAAAATATTGTGTCTTTTGTCATAATTGTCTGTACATAACGTTACACGGTGACTACAAATTAATTCCATTGAAAAGTATTTATAACGATAAGAAACAAAAATAACTAAATAAGTTGAAGAAAAGTTATAAAAACGTAGAGAAGACATTTACTTATGAATTCTCCTACACTGTAAGTGAAAATGCACAAATATCTTGGTTTTTTTTTTTGTACTTCTGTTCCATTCAATATTTTTCAGGAAAAAGAGCTGATCTCTATGACAGAGACAATCGGGACTGGGCTCCAACAGTGAACATGGGTAGCAAACCACCAAGGAATACACCAGCTGTAATGAAAGATCGTTACGAACGCAGGATTATGATGGAGCATTCTTTAACGAGCGATGCTGCATGTACACAGCTTTTAGTATATATTTCTTAATTTTCTTGCATTATTATCAGACAGGATTATCTACCGTTAACACCGGTGCTAGAAAATCCTGTCTTACATCGCCCATGTAAGACAAGCCACATGCTTAAAATGACGTCATTGCAGCGCACCTTTTATGAATGAATTGCGTTCTTAGGATGACGTCATTTAACTGTAATAAATGAAGTTGTAAGTTCATACGCTTCTACCAGAAAAAAGTGTGTAATGAGAATATCAATTTTCATAATTTTCTGTTCTTAAAATAATTAATATGTAATATGCAACAAGGAGAATCAAACACCGTCTGTCGGTGCAGACAGGAATATCTACATATCTACCTCTCGGGGTAACTGTTTGGCGGAAACTCTGGAGAGCCTCGTTACCTCCGTAAATCTTTACCCTCAAGCTAGATATTCTGGTCTGTACTGGCAGCCGGTGTAAGATACATATAATATTTTTCATGTCTTCCTGTTTTTAGTGCCTCAGTGGGTCGATCTCTGCAAGAAATTAAAATTTAATGTATTTAGGCTTTTGAACCTTTATGGAGTTTCTTTAAATTAAGTCCTTTTTAAGCTTCATCTTTTCTATTTCTCTAGATACAAGGAAATTTTGCAGGAAAATGTTAATTGCTTGTTAATGCTTCTGAAACCTGTATGTTTTGTATGCACAAAATATTTTCAGATCATTCAGATTTTTACTGAACAGTTAAAAAAAACACAAATCTTATTTGCTGATTTATGTGATTAAGGCAATCAACAGATGACAGCCCAGATTTCAGCCATGATCCCTCAATTTGTACCGTTAACTCAAGCTGCAGGTCAACAAGTGGTTTTAGACATGCCTGGAACAAATCCACATGAAAGTATTTTACTGACAATGGCTCAACTTCTGGTGCAGGGAACCAAATTGCCACAGTCTGCCACCATGCCAGGAACCAGTCTAAAATCTGATTTTAGGGGAGGTAATCAGCTGGACAAAATCAATTCCACTGATGGTATAAAATCAGAAAATGTGTCTAAAGAAGAAAAGAAAGCAGATATAGTGTTTACTCTTGGGTCAAGCACACTTAGTGCAGAAGAACAACTGAAGAAATTTGTTAGTTCAAGTCAAGCCTCACGAAATCAGGCCTACTATGTTGTTGTAAATAAAGGGGAGACAAATGAGAGGGCATTCTTTATTGAACCAAACAAAAAAGGAAAATCTAAACCTAACACGGAAAAGAAAATTAAAACAGGTATTTCATTTATTTCTTTTTATATTTTTGAACGCTCAGAATGTCTACATTGTGTTAGAGTGAATGCTTTTTCTCTGTCATGGTGATTTTAGACTAATAGAATCTATCATTGGGTTAGATAGAGGATAGGGAAATCCCAACCCGAGGGTGATCGGTTCCATCGGGAACGAGCCTTGGCGAGTTCCCGATGGAACCGATTGCCCGAGGGTTGGGATTTCCCTATCCTCTATCTAACCCAATGGTTGATTATTTTTCTCACTCACCTGAACACACAAATATCAGTGAATCTACTTGCTACGCCCATTACAATGTACCTAGTTTTGAAAAGGGGGCGGGGCTTAGGCGCCTGACTTTCTATGATTAAAAAGCATTACGTACGTCCGCAAAAAAAATCTTCTGACCAAGTTTATGTGTGAAAAATTTAATGAAAATAAATTCATATGAGACCCCTCATGAAAAAGCAAGGTTATCATGATGAAACACATCGATATTAAAAACGGAAAGTGCCATAATATAAGTGTTTATATATAAGGAATTCAGTCCATACTTCAATGGTTGACAAAAAAGCGTTTACCGTTTGCAAAGATTTTTCTACTTTTTCGGTTATTTTGGCCGAATATTTAATTAAAATATATCAAAAAGTGATTCGTCATCAAAAAGCATCGTTATCATAACAAAAAACATGAATGTTTTTCAGGCAAAGTGTCATAATATCCGATTTTACGAAGAACGTTTCGATATTTTAAAGTGTGCTATTTTTAGTAACAGATCGTTATTGGAAAGGGCGGATCTAGGTAGAGTAGGACTCATTGCAGTGTGAAAGTTAATATCAATCTATTTTGATTCCGTAGACAATTTAATAGATTAGCTTACATATTTTTAAAACATTTTGACCTTTTGACGTTTAATTTTTGTTAAAATAGGAGTGAATCGCGTATTATTTAGAACTGCTGCACGTTGAGTGTGAGATAAGCCCATGTGAGATAAGATTTTCCAACACCGCTATTTTTAGTAACATTTAAGGATTTTTCTATCTGATTAGTGATAAATATCATTCCTGTTCATTAACTTTTTAGATGCTCCATCAATTAGATTTATATTTGGTTAGAAACAAAACCCATGATTAGTTTAGGTAACATTATCCACTGATTTGTGTTAAGAGGTATATGTACAAGTTACAGGCAAATTTGCATTTGGATATGTATTCAGCAGCCTCCATTGAAAATTTGTTTTTAACATTTTTCTGGAAAGATGATTGTAGCAAATGAATTTTACTCCTTTACAGAGGTTCTAATATTAAATAATAAAAATGAATGTGGTGTTGCAATAAGAATATATTTGATTCTAAACTAGACTTTAATTTTGTGGTTGTGTGCACATAATGTTTTTTTCATGTAAGATAATTAAAAGTCTTCGTTATGTTATTTAGGGGCGTATGTGAGCTAATTTTCAAAGCTATAACAAGTGCCAAAAAGTGTAAATTCAAGCACTGATTATAAAATACCTTATACTAAGAGTAATAAGAAATGATGATATCTTCAATATATTATTTAATTGGACTGAAATTAGACATAAATTGATGTACTGATGTCATTTCCAGAGAAAAATGATGACAGTCTAGTTAAAACACTAGATACAGTCAAAACAGAGCCGGACAAAAAACCAGTCAAGGTAGAACAGGAAGTGGTGGTACCTGATTCCTCTTCAGGAGATCCAGAACCTCAGAACAAGTTCCTAAAATTTTGCCAGCTTCCAAAAACCCCAGCTAAAGTTCCAGTTGCAGCTGTTACACCTCAGAGACAATCTGAACAGGTTTTTAATTAATCACATAAATGAATTGCAGAAATATTAAGATCAACTATTTAGATGAACTTTAAATGTTTCAGAGGTTTTTTTTGCTGAAAAAAATATAAACTCCAGATCAAATATCACATTATCATATTATGTTAAGATTTGTTGCAATAATTTACTTTCACTTATAAATTTCCTTGAAGTATGATTGATTTATTATGAGAAATACTTTGGATAACAACATTGTGATGTTGTTAACTGTCTTCTTCTAGCTTCTTCATGTTAACTAATCATGACGCTGTGATCAAGGCAATATTAATGGTTCTTCTCGGGTGACTTCTCTTGACTGAAATTGCTCCTGTTTATATATCATGAATTCCAATTTGTCATTTAAAATATTTATGCCCTTGCATCAAATATAAAACAAACAGGTGTAACATATTGCCCCACTTTTGTGGTGCTCTTTGTTAAAAAAATTTTTGTTAAAAGCAGAATAATATCTTTATAGATTGTTATAAGTATTTGTGTGAGAGTGGGTGCATGTGTGTGTGCGTGTCTTTTTGATAGGATTTATACAAGAAAACATGTAGTTTTTAAAAGTAATTTTACATTTTCAGGAAAATAAAAACAGAAACTGCCTGATCTGTGAAAGTAAGACAAGGTAAGTTTCCACCAGACTTTATGCCCAAAAATCTTCAAACACAATCCTCAAACTTACATCAAATCCAGACAGGTTTCACCCCTACATGTACATCACCTGTACTCTATTGAAGTTATGGCCCAGACGGATGTACCAGCCTTCGACAGTGTAGATGAAAACAAATAATCTTGCTGATTTTAAGAAAGAACAATATTGAAGAAAAACCAATTTTCAAGAAAAGGCGGAAAATTCGCCTTTTCTATTAAAAACACTAAAATCTGAAAGATTGAGTACTGTTAAGGAACTTCAAAAGGATGCAGAATAGAATAAAAAATTGAAAAAAAGGCAGAAAAAAAAAAATTTAAATTTAATGCAAAAAAAAAGTAAAATTTTCAGGATAAAGAATTAATGCTTTTATGATTTTAAGAACGGAGAGGATTTTTTAAAAAGGTGGAGGAGGAAATTAAGTCTACAACAAGCAGGAAAGGTAGATTATGTCTAGTGCGTATTTAAAGGGTTAAACAGGGTAGAAAGAAGTCACGGTGATTTCTACAAGAAAAAAGAAAAAAGAATGCTTGTTAAGGATTATTAGATGGAGAATCGCGCCTTCAGGTGTTATTATTTATTCATGTTTTTTATTTTACATGTATATAAATCTTAAATCAACTAAATGTCATACAAAATGTTTGAAATATTGAAATAATCTTTTAGGAAAGCTATCTAGAATCAATATTATTGTACATATACATTGCCCTTAAAATAAAAAGGCAAAAGTACCAATGTTCTTTGTTCTTAAAGGAACTCCACTGAGTTTCAAATGCCTAAAAACATTAAATTTTTAATATGTTTTTCAGTTTGAACAGTTGTAGACAATAATGTTGTGTAAAGTTATGTTACAGGGCAGTGATTTTTCAACTTTATAACAGAAGCTTATACAAGGCCTTTTTCCAAAGGAAGTTTTCTTTGATCCAAAATCTCTACTTAAACCAACCTCTTTACTTCCCAAATTAGCAATTTTAGTGATAATTTTCCCCAAAATCAAGATACGGATGCTTCTTCCCAATTATATGAGAAAAAACCATTGCATGGTCAGAAAAAATGTGCAGCTAGAAAGGGACCTTCAGAATACCACTCTGCTGCTTTACCAACTGAGCTATCCGGCTGCTTACACATCTTCTCCCATAGATAGTGAACTGTTTTGAGCTGCGAAGGTCGGTTAGAACAATGTCCTGGTACAAAGTAGCATAATTGATATAAAATGTTAAATTTTCCAAAAGAAATTAGCTATGCTTATGGTCTTCATCAACATTGTTCTTCTCTTATTGTTACATATATTTTGCAATTGTTTGTCTTTATAAAGGTAATGATGTGAATTCGGATGAGGAGTTTCTCAATACCAGAAGACGTGGTGGAAGGAAACGTAAATCAACAAGTAAATTTCAAGAGTGGTCAAAGCGGTCCAGAAAAGGTGTCACATACGATGATAATGAAAACACTGATGAAAAAGAAAATAAGGTAAAATTCTTAATGCATGAAGATATAATAGTAAATTCTTTACTTTCACTTAATGAATAACTTTATAAAGTGGATATTTCTGTGTGTCAAAAAGCTAGCGAATTAAAAATTCAAGAATTTTCGCGGTGGAATTTTAAGCAAATCGTGCAAGTGTACCCATTTTTTTGACGGGTTGGGTTTTGTATTTATGCTAGATTTTAAATTTGAGGATTTTCGTTTTTTTCCAAAAATTCGCCAATTTTCCATTTTGTTCCCTTTACCATTTACATTTACATGTAAAGTGTGTGTAGGAGGGGAGGTTCATTAAGATTTATTTCCCTTTGGTTGTTTTGTTGTTAAAATTTTCCCCAGGTGAATTTTTTCCTTTGGGGAAAAAGAAGTCTCTTTTATCTAATGCAAAGGCCCTTCTTTCTTTCCCTTTACTGACTGGTGCCCTAATAACAATAAAGCAAAAAGGTGTGTCAAAGGGGGGCCTTCTGAAATTTTAAAAGGGGTAAAAAGACCCCAAAGGGAAAGTAAATAGTGACATAACGAGATATTTTCCTTTCCTACCCTCTACCTGCAGAAGAAGAAGAATACATTTGTATTTTAAAAAAAAGCCAAACAAACTTGTATATGTTAAATTAATGTTTTATAACAGTTTTTCTATTGCTATAAATTTTGTGCTTCATTTCCTAACTTTCAGGCCAAAAACGAGTGTTTATCATGTATAAAATGTGGTAAACAGTTGTTACCACTAGGTCAATATGAGAAGCAGAAAAAACATCCAGAATTTTTGTCTTGTGTTTTCAAGAAGAACACAGAGTTGATATATTTTCCAAACATGAAGACCAAGGATTGCCAATTACAAACAGTTGAATCTGAAACAAATAACAAAGGTAATTAACATGTACTTGCTTGCCTAATAAATTATAAAAAAGTAAAATTGCATTTGAATTTAAAACTGTTCTTTGAATGAAAAGGATTTTTCCAATACCTTTATTGTTGAAGATTGAACACAGAGAAGATTGAACACAACTGAAGGGGCATCCGTTGCCAAGTGGTAAAGGTCATTGACATCAAAGCGCTTACCACTTAACGCATAGGGTTTCAATACCGTTGCAGACTTTAGATTATTTTGTGAGGAAGCCTACCAGCTAGCTTACAATACTTTAAGTTTACTATTTACAAACACAAACCATTTGATGATCACAAGTTCTGCCTGAAACAGAAAACATCATAAAAATTCTTATTCCCAAATGCCTAGTCCCTTTACTAAAAAATTTACTGTTTTCAAAATTTTTTTTTTTGCGGGTTTATTTTTTAAACAGTGAAATAGGGACGCGACTTAGGATGTTGTTTTACATTTATTTAAAATTTGTTACATGTAAAAATGTTTAAAATGATTGGAGCTAGAGTCTGTTTGGAAATTTTTCCCTCACAATATACAGCTGGACGGTATTTGGTCTTATTTTTTTCAAAAAAAAAAAATTTTAACTGGAAAAACCTTTTTTTTTTGAAAAAATTTCTTTTTTTTAATTTTACCTTTTTTATTTTAAAGTGTGTAAAATTGCCCTCTAATTTTTGGGAAAGTTATTCAGATACCAAAATAAAATGTTGGTGGTTCTTTTTTTGTCCCTGAAATATCTGAAATGATGCAAAGGGGGATTTGCCCAACCCAAAAGTTGAAAGTTTTGGAAAAATTTAAAAACCCCAAACAAAACAAAAAAATTTTTTTTTAAAAATACTTAAGTTAAAGGGCTTTTTCAAAATTTCCAAGAAACCAAAGTCCCTATTTTTTACAGAAGTCAAAAATTGGGCCCTTTTTTTGCCCTTTTGGCCTGAAATAAGGGGGGAATTTGGTCTTTCCCCACCAGAAAAATTTGGAAAGCCCCCTTTTGGACCTTTCCGTTTTTTAAATTTTTTAAAAACCCTTTACCCCCAAAAAAACACCAAAAAGTCCTTTTAAAAACAAAAATTTAAAAGAAAAATTTTCAAATTAAAATTACTTATTTCAATTTGGGAATTTGTCATAAAGTTTCCTAAGTTTTGTTTGGGGAAATACCCCCTTTTTCCCAAAGTTAATTTTGCCCATTTTGCCCAAAAGGGTTTTGCTCTTTTTTTAAAATTTAAAAAAGCCCTTTTGGGGAAAATTTAGAAAAAAGGGGCAATTGATCGGGTTTAAAATTTTTTTAACCCCCCTTTGTACCCTAAACGTTTTTAATTTTGTGTGAAAGAAATTTTTAAAAACCCTTTTTAACCGGGTAGAATGAGTTTTAAAACCTTTCAAAAAATATGGGAGCCAAGTCAGCCTGTCTCCCCATCTATACCTCTTGCCCCGGGCTCTACACTGTTTGTATTTAAACCTTTTTGAAATCTTGATTTTGGGAAAACCCAAAAAATTTGAATATTTTTTTTTCCCCAAATTTCCAGGGGGGAAATTTCCCATTAAAAAAATTTTCAGGGAGGTTGAAGGGTTATTATTAAAAACCCATTCGGGGAAAGAATTTACTGGGGGGAAAGCAATATCTTCTATAACAAAATCTCGGGGAAAAAAAACCCCGGGGAAAATTTTGAAATAAATTTATCACTTTGGGGGGACATTTCATTAAGGGAAAATTTTGTAATTATTATTCATTGCATTTTATTTAATATTATGATATTATAAAATTTGGAAGTTATCCCCTTTGGTTTTTGTAAGATGTTATTTTTTTGGTCAAATGCCACACACTTGCAAAGTTTAGAATTTTTTAAAAAGTTCTTATGTAAATACATTACCATTTATATTGAATTACAGCATGTGTTTATTTGTTGTTTTTGAAGTATTTTTAAGAGTAATTGCCCCTGAATTTGATTGAAAATAGAGAGAAAAATCAGGACAATTACAAATTATAAAAAAAAGTTAAAAAAATCACATAAGTCTCCTTTGGTGTAAGTTAGACATAGCCAATATTTTAAGACCAAAATTTTTTTATATAACATTTTGAAAAATTGGCGATATCAGTTTATCATTGACTTGCAGGTTTTGATTGATAATTTAAATCATGAAATATTTTTATAAAGAGTTGAAAGACCTGCTTTTAGAATAATTTAATAAAAATTCATGTTCATTGAGTAAATGGAGGATATTTAAGTTTTTTCTTTTTTAAATACAGGATTTTATTTTCATTGTGTGTAGTTGAAAACAGGAAAACAATATTTTGTTTGAAAAGGTTTGTGAATGCTAAAAATTATTCTGGGTAATTTTCAGCCTGTTATTCTTATGAAAACATTTACATAAATTTATTCTTTTGAAAAAATTATTATATATTTCAATAGTAATATTTAAGTTTTGTTCTTTCATCAAATGTTCTTTTAATCAATTTTGATTTCCTTGTATATTTTTATCAATTCTCATTTTAACTTGCATATTCTTTATGTCATAACGAATTTTTAAAGAACAAGTATCTCAAATCAAGTTTTACATTTTAGTAAGAAACTGTGGCCCCCCTTGCTTGTAAAGGCCTAACATAAACTTATGCAGGTGCATACATGATCTGAATATTTGTGTCTTTTTTTCTGGTTACTGTTTTTTTTAAGAATGGGCAAGGGGGTTTAAAGGGGCCAGAACTATATTTTCTGGTAATTGAAATAATTTTCTTTGTTTAAAAGGGAAAAATTAAAAGGGGAAGCCTTTAAATAAAAAGAGTGTTTGCCCTTTTTTTATCCGTTTTGTTTCAAAAACCCTTTTTTTTTAAATTTAAAACCAAGGGGCTAGACAATAAGTGTGCCCTTTGGGAAGTTTTAAGGGGTAAACTTTTTTAAAGGCCGCTAAAACTTTTGGGGCTAGCCGAAAGGGGCCTTTTATTTTGCTACCCCAAAAATTTTCTTTTTTCAAAGAAAAAAAATAAAAAATTCTTTAAAAAAAAAATTAAATTCCTTTTTATTTTTCCCTTTTTAAAAAAGGAGTGGCGACAATACTATAGGCATTACTTCTCCGTGGGTCTGCCGCCCTGCCCCTTTTAAAAAAGTACAAATATGCGCGCAAAATCTGTCCCCCTTTCCCTTTCGTTTTCGAAATAAGTGACCCTTTATCACCTTAAACCTGTCTATTTTATCGTAAGCTTGCTATTAATAAGCTTTACCCTTGATTTTAACTGTCATAATATCATAACCTTTTTATGCCCAATCCAATCCTAGATGTGTTAATATTATACTTTTTGTTTAAGATAGTCACATTTATTGTTAATTTAAGTCCCCCCATTTTGTATGATTATACATGTGAAAAAGTGTGTCAAAGTGAAATTCTTTAGCACTTAAGAGGCGTTTTTCGGCGGGAAGTGCTTGAATCAACGTTTTGTTGTATTTATTTACAAAATACCACCCACTCCTTTAGTCGTAATAATTAGCTAGGGTAAATGTATGCCAGTTATTTATTTCTATCCATGGAATATGTTGATTTGTTTATTATTTGTTTGAGGTGCTGGAACTGTTTGAACACCTTATGGGTCCCCTTTTTAATTGTTGACAAACGTTGTTTATGTTTGAACTGCAGTATAAAAAGCGCTGTTTTATGTTTGAAAATCACTCCGCAGCTTGAAAAATTTGAAGCATTAGATTTTGCTTTTCTTCCAGAACTTGAGTTTTTTTAAACTAGGTAGATGTAGATCTATTTAAACTTAACGATTGTATGAATAGATTTACATTTTCAATATTGTCTTTGTATTATTTTGATAACTTAATATATACAACCTATAAGTAAAATAATATTTTAAAATACTTTGGAACTGAAACTGTGATTTTACTTCGCGAACTTACACACATTTCAGTATCAAAGCAACGAAAACTTTAAATTAAATAAATTGTTTTATAGAAATGTTGTTAGTAACGGTCTTTAATGGTTTTACTTAGATTAATTAACGTAGTAACTTACCTCAAATTAAGTTTAGATCGTTTTTAAAATGTTTCAATTTTTGTTTCTTATAACTTATTGTATAATTTTCTCCTTTAAAATACTGTTTAGCCACCGACACTTCATATTTTGCTCTGCAAATTTAAAAATGAATACATGTAATATTACACAAGAAGAGAATGTTTGATAAGAAAAGCCTGTTGTATTATTACATTTATATGTTGATGAATAAATGTGCCATAGTTGAATACCTGGGAATGAAATTCGTTAAAAACTGTTATTCTTAGTTTATTTTCGATCAGATTTTAGTTCTTTAAAAAGCGTATAACTCCCTTATAATAAGTCAAGTTGTCTTTCCTGTGGGGTCAAACTAAATATTACGTTCCCGTTTTGTCCTTCTTGCCTATCTGCCTAGGACACATGTTCACGTGAAGGCAGAAGTCCCTGAACATGTAGTAGGCCTAATATTCCGATCTTTCAAAAATAAAGGTTTGTCCTTTGACGGCTAGCACGTAACAATACTTAGGGGAACAATGGG